ACTACCGTATGTCGTGTTCTGTTTTACTTTCAAGTTGCTCGTACTAAATAGCCAAGTTATCAGCTGTTATCGGGACGCGTGTGTATGTCCATCATCGATGGGCTTAGCCGGATTCCAGCGAATGAAACGGCACAAACAATGTTTAATTCCTGGGATACCTGTGACTTTTCCTGTCCCGGCGACAGTTCCTTTTACGGCGATGAAGTGACCTCCAATTCCGGTTTCTATGAAAGTGATTTGAAGCAACAACAGCTTCAACAGCAACAGCTAAACCATGGCTCAGTCTCAGTCTATGGTCATGCTCCTATCAATGAACCCTGTGTAAACTTTAACAATGGAACCTTTTATCAGGCTTCAAGCCAACTTAACCGTAGACCCTTTGTGGGTGCCATTATGGGACCCAATGTCTCCTCTGGAATGCATCGTTACCATCCTTACCAGCAGCACCCACAGCAGGAGGCTTTCTATGGTCAAAGGGCTAGCCTTCTGTCTGTTCCAACTCCTTGCAGCGAGACTCGTCCTTGGAGCTATGCCTACTGCTATGGCTACACACCCACCAATACCCAACCTTGCCAGTTTTCCCAATTTGTGGATATTGAGGATTTCATGTGAGTGCAACTTAGGAAACTCTGCTGCGTAATTTCTGTGTGATTTATAAAGTAAACCTTATAAACAATGGGGTTTCTTTTATTTTAGAAAGCTAATAAAACCATGTTTTGAAACACATATGTAACTATATAACCAGCAATGGAATGACAAAAGATCATTCAACTGTTCTTAAAGATACTTCGTATAGTTATCATACAATTGTCCTTCTTCGTACCGTGCCTAAGTCTTTTACTTATAACAAATAATCCCACGTAAAATTTAAAAATTTTAAAGGGTTTTATTCATATATTTTCGCTATATTTATTCACCTGTTGAAATTGGTTGTGCCAGGTATATTCAAAGCCAAAGTAAATGGCGCGGCTCTTATCTATGCTTATTTGTGGATCGTTTTTTATAATAATATTTAGATACGCAGAAGTAGATAGGAGTAAGTAGGAGAGAGGCGGGGACTTGAGTCAGTCAAGGTTCTCTGGGTTTCTCCCGGCAGAAAGTCCCTTTCCTCTATTTTATCAAAAAACACAAAACGGCTGCTCTAAAATAAGACTTTCGCTCTCTTTTTGATTTCTTAATGGGCCCCCAATATAGTTTATAAAAGTTGAGAATTGTTTGGCTGTCGTTTGATTGTGTAATTGTTATCATGACACCGATGACTTTATGTTGGGTATTTCCCAAAGGTTTATCTTCACGTGGCGCAGCCGTCAAAGGTCTCTTAGAGTTTGGAATCAATACGTATTGATCAACGATTGACGCAGATTACGCTCTCTCCCCTTTCGAGGGAGGCATCCTCTTAGCATGCAACGTGCACGGAAACTTAATGACAACGAAATGGTCGCCAGGTTTGCGTTTATTTACGTTTTGCACACGTTTATGCCAAATTTGCGACTGCCCGTTTCCATGCTAATGAGAGTCAAATTCAAACTGACGCAAGAAAGCCCGAATCTCAAAGACTTCCCCCTGTCCAGATTTATATTGGGCCAAACCAAACATCCCTGACCCCTGATTTACTGTCCCATGAACTTGGCATTAACACCTCGAGTCGTATCTTAAATGTTTTCGCTGATATCACGCCCTGGAGATACGACGCATTTTGGCTAAGAGTTTTGAAATTTCAAAAGCAGAGGTCAGCATCCTAAAGGTGTCTGAGGGATAAGAATCTTAAAGCTGTCCACGTGTTTGTATTCTGATTTGGTTTATTTTAAAGCTTAACTGCACTGTGGGATAAATTGTTGTTAAGGAGCCCTTTAAATTGTTAAAAATTATATGAGAAATGAGTAAAAGCAAAGTTCTTTGTGGTGTTGATAAGAAATGATACTAAAATACATTTATTTAATTGTTGATTAGTTTATAAAGTTGCCTTATCTAACGTGTTAAATAACTTTATTTCTTCTTTAATCAGTGCCTTGATTTTGTGGTTAACTTGATTAGACTTGATTTCAAAATATTTGGAAAGAGGTTTAAAAAATCAAAGGAGACTAAAGAAATTGTATGAAAAATTATTTTCTATTTAACCCAATTTGTCATTGTTTATTATTTATTCACCTTTTGCAGTTTCTTTTAAATTTATACACCGCTTTTGGCCACTGTTCAAGCTTCGCTTTGGAGCGGAAGTACTTAGCAACAACAACGGCAGCTGCTGGCCAATAACAAGGCAATTCTACTGCCACTGTCAGAATATTTAACAAGCCATAGTTATGTAGCTTCTGTTCTAATGAACAGACAAAAACAAAAAGAAATAAAAAAACCCCTCGATCAGTCCATTTAAGCAGGCCATTAGCATGCAATCAAAGGCGCTCTAAGTCGCTTTCTATGGCCCGTGCACAAATATTACTTATAAATGCACATGGGTTTGTATATGTATAAACTTTAAGATTGTTAGCTGTGTGCATAGCGATAATATATTGTATACATAGTGGGTGAAATAATACATTACTATATTAGTTATCTAACCGGCTGCACCGGTCACCTTTTGCTTCAAACCTTTGCCTGGTTTCCATCAATCAGTCAATTCAGTTTGATTGACAATGAAAACCCCCTCTTATCTCTCTTACTTTCAGTTCTATTAATATTATTAACCCAATGTTTCTCTCTCACTCTGTTTGCTTGTCGCGAAAATGTGAAATCGAAAGCTAAAGCTTTGGATTTTTTAAACAAGATCATGGGGTTACTTGTTTTAAATATTAAGACTTATTTTATAGATTAAATACTCTTCTTTATGTAGATTTTATAGATTTACATATAAAAGTTGTATAAATCAACTTCTAATAGTTGTTATAGAAGTTGTATTACTTAAACTCTAATATGTAGTTGTGAATTAAATATAATAATTTAATAAATCAACCTCTAATAGTTGATTGCGGCCATTCAACTGGTTAGCTATGTAATTTATAAACTTTTCAGTGGCACATACTTGATGCAACTATTCAAGCAAACATTTATTGAGTTTGATTGGCAATTTCACACTTAAATTAATTATACAGCAATCAGTTAAATGAATTGTGAGTTACAATCTGATTTAGCTTTGCTAATAAAAAACTAAAATACCCTTTCCTGAAGGGGTATTTTAAAGCCTTTATTGGACAGCCTTTAGACTGACGTAAACATCACTCAATAGAGTCCCAGATTCCGCTGTCTGTGGCGGCTGATAGGTTTCCCCTTTGTGTTCGCTCGATATCCTTCATTGACAGGTGATACTTAGGTCTTGGAAATATCTATCTAAAAACTGCTTGAAATTTTAACTTGTGGTTGCCATGCGAATTTTCCCAAGCGAAAAAAACACCTGCCTTTTAATGCAGAGTTGACGATTTTCTGTCACCCCAAACCCAGTAGTACGTGCAAAAATTGGCGTGTACCACGGATTATACAAGTTTGCCCTCTATTTCGATAATAAATAAAATATTATGAGCATGCTGCATAAATTTCCGAATTAGTTTCCTTCCATGTGCCGCTGCTCACGAGATTTTCTTGGCAAACTTTCTATACTTTTTCCCCCTGTTCCCGAGGGACGCCATTCGTCTTTTCTTAGAATTTCTCAAAAAAGATATATAAATATATATAAATTGATAGTGTCTGTATGTGTGTGAGGTCAGTGCTCTGCCGTAGAATTAGTTCTTTGCTTGTTTAACGATTAAAACTTGTCGCCAATATCGAAAAGAGTTGAATCCCCCGGCTTTAAGGGGGCTTAATCACAACTCTGCACAGTCGCTAATTGACAACTCATCGGGACAGGTGGCGAGGAGCTTCGTCAATCGTCTCACCGAAATTTCCAAAAAGTCTTCCACTTTATAATATAAGATATTAATATTGGTGCCAAGGCAGTCGGAGGCTAACTTTATCAGTCGAACGTGTGACTTGCTGGCTATTCTCGGAACCCCAAAAGCTGACATTATAAACTATCCAAAGCCCCCCGGGGAGCCCTCTTCAGACAGTTTTCTCTAAGGGGGTGCCGTTGTAGGTCAAGATCCTCATAGACATTATACAATGAATAATGGATTTATGCAAAATAGTCTTAACAAGAACTAACGTGAAGTAGGCTACCTTTTACTTAATATTCTTTATCAATTTCTTTAGCAGAGGAAGTGTTATTGCTTTCACTAACTATGCAATGTCTGATAAATATTAATTTGCAATGGAAATCTGGTTGTGACATCGCTCTTTTAAGTATATAACCTTATAACCTTATAACTATATTATGAAATTATTAAAATCGAGGCATTACTCTGCAATATTACTTAAAATCAATCTCGGTATATACATATTAGAAAACAATTCATCATTATCTATATCATATTTCTATATATTAGATTACCTTTTTGCTTTTTACAAAAGGGTTTATTTTTACGATAAAATAAAATGCCTAATCTTATATTCTTTGTATACTTTTAATTATATTTTGTTAAGTAATTTATTTACTGCTCCCTTGATAAAGTATTTAGTTGCCTATGATTTTTAGAAAGTTATGAAGAAGATAACTTTAATGCAAAATAAAGCTTAAATAAGACTTAATAAGTAGTTCCTTGCATACATTATTATATCACTTTTTAAAATAAATAATAATATATAGAAATCCACCTTAAATACATGGCTGCCATGAACTTAGGCGCCGTGTTGATCGCCTTCGCTTTTTTGCTTCTATTTTATTTTTTTTTTGCGCATGGCCGGGCAGCAAAACGCGAAAATTGCAGGCGGTGTTCATTTAATTGGAAAATTGCTGGGCTGGCCGCGTGAATTGAATCAAAAGCAATGAAACGGGAATGAAAGTGCAATTGAAATGCACGCATATTACTGCCAGCCTCCCAGCCCATTCACATCCCCTTCATTTTTTGCCACACAGAACAGTGGCCTGCCTACGTGATCGCTCAGAAATAATGCTAATTTGTCCATGATCTTTGCAGGAACAATGAGAAGCGTAAGGAAAAATCGAGAGATGCGGCCAGATGTCGTCGCTCCAAGGAGACGGAGATTTTCATGGAACTCTCACAGGCTCTGCCGCTGAAAACCGATGATGTCAATCAACTGGACAAGGCCTCGGTGATGAGGATTACCATAGCGTTTCTTAAGATTCGCGAGATGCTGCAGTTTGGTAAGTATTTTGATTTTTATAATAATTTAATTAAGTATACTTATGAATTCTATGTAGTTCCCAGTTTACGCAACTGCAATGAGGACATTAAGCGGGACATTGATGCTGTAGAGGAACAGCAGCTGCGAAAAGTCAAACCCAAGCTGGAAATTGGCTGCGAGGATTGGCTTAATGGAGCCGAAGCCAGTCAGCTCTTAAAGCAGACCATGGATGGTTTCCTACTGGTCCTGTCCCACGAGGGTGATATTACCTATGTCACTGAGAACGTGGTCGAGTATCTGGGCATTACCAAAGTGAGTAATTCAAATTATTTAAAGGAGAATCTATACTAATAACTCATTTTCTTAATCCCTTCAGATCGACACTCTTGGCCAGCAGATTTGGGAGTACTCGCATCAGTGCGATCATGCCGAGATCAAGGAGGCACTTAGCCTAAAGCGAGAGAACGCTGACAAGGTCAAAGACGAGCAGCAGGACTCTGGGGTGACCACCCATCACAGGGACTTGTTTGTGCGTTTAAAGTGCACCTTGACCAGTCGTGGACGCAGCATTAACATCAAGAGCGCCTCCTACAAGGTGAGATTGCCTTTTATATATAATATAATTGTAATAATAACAAGCGTAGCTTGTTTACTTTGTAATTATTGTGATTGCTCCTTGGTTTCTATCGTTTTGAATCTTATACTTGTACTACTTACAGGTCATTCACATTACTGGACACTTGGTGATCAATGCCAAGGGCGAACGCCTGCTGATCGCCGTGGGAAGACCCATTCCTCATCCCTCGAACATTGAAATACCCTTGGGAACCAGCACTTTCCTTACCAAACATTCGCTGGATATGAAATTCACCTATGTGGATGACAAGTAGGAATGATATACCAGCTATGCCCCAACTTTTACTTATACTAATTAAAATCTATAGATTCTTTTACGATTTTGTGGTAAAATCCAATTAGAATTTGGAGCATAGCTGTTATAATCTGTTAACAGCTTTTAACTCTTTCTGTTTTTGATCTTTCAGGATGCATGGCTTGTTGGGATATTCGCCCAGCGACTTGCTTGATACATCTTTATTTGTCTGCCAGCATGGAGCTGATTCTGAACGCCTTATGGCCACCTTCAAGAGCGGTGAGTGAGCTGTCCAAACTACCTACGAAAACTCGCGACTCATTAAAACTAACTGCAGCTAACTAATGCTAAACTAATTACTTTAATGTGCAAATTAAAACACGCTCGGTTGTCGTTGGATGCCGGAAGAGTGTCCGGCACATCAAAACAAAATTGTCACTCGTCCGGTGCGCTACCTGTCCCGGCTCCTGTTCACGTCCAGCTGTTGCCATAGCTTATTGCATTTAATTAGTTGTAGCACCTTCCTCTTTGGCGCAGACCCCACTCTTTTCCCTCCTCCCAAGGGTCGCAACACAAAGACCATTAGTCGTTGGCTTGACTTGGCTCTGCTTTAATTTCACTTTAGTTGCTAATTAGCTTTTGCGAAACTAAATGAATTGGTCAGGGCAGCAGCGAGACAGCTGAAATCTCTGTTCAGCGCTATCTAGTCTCTTTTTTTCATATCTTTATTATTTTGTTTATTAAGAAGTTTTTATTGTTGATTCAATTATGTTTCCTAGTATCGTGTAGCCTTGTTTATTCGAAGCATTTCATTCCATTCTGGCTGAATCTATATAATCCAGATAAGTCATCTTGCTTAGCAATCGAAGTCGCAGCCAAAGACCGCCTGCTCATTTGCAATCAATTTTCATAAGCCAAAAGTATCTTTATCACACCCAAGATATCCAACTCGATCGATAGATAAATGTGTCTGCCCACAGAGGAGAAAACATTAGAGGGTTTATCAAGTCAGTTGGCCTAAGCAAAGTATTTATCATTCAAATATAAATATTCTTATTTAGCATTAGCATTTTGATTGTGATATGAAGTAGTATATATGGAATTGTTCCTCTGTTAAATTTGTTTTTAAATATTTTATTTTTATAGCTGATTATTAGCCTTATCCAACGCCGAGCCTTAGTTTTATGTTTATTTGACATTTCCTAAAGTACATAAATAATTGTTCCTCCTACTGACTTAAATATGTAGATAATAAGCTCATAAGGCTTTTCAAAAGTAATTTTAATATAGGAATGCAAGGTTGAGACTCATGATACTGAACCTTTTTATTGATATGACAACCAAAACGTATTGATATATTGATAATGCAGAATTCGATAGATTTAAATTTTCCGATAAATACAATTATTGGTATTTATTGAAATTTCAAAATTCGATTATTGATATTTGACTTGAAGGTTGATCGATATTTTAAATGTTGATATAACAGACAAAATTTAGTTAAACGATATTTTTTAAATTGATTTTATATATGTTTGCGATATGCTTGATGTGATATGAGGCGAGACATTTTCATCGATGTGTTTTCAAACTTTAACTCTTAATATACATGAGTTGATGGTATTTTTTGTAGTGTAGAAAGACAAGTAAAATAATGGAAGGAATAAGAAGCTTTCCGTTCTCGCAGCCATCTTAAGCATTTTTCTTAATTTCTCCCAAGCTCATCCTGGGCGCGGTTCCTAGTTATTGTTTGCTTATTTGTTGCTCTTAATAGCCGCGTCATGTCGTCTACATTGACCAAATAATGTTGCCACTGCCGATGGTGCTGCTGCTGCTGCTTCGTTGGCTTTCTGCACTTAAAATGCCAGAGCTTGGGCAATAAAAACTCCGCTGCTGCTGGTGCTTCTGCTGCTCCTGCTGACCATTGTTTGGGGTACATTGTACCCAAAAGTGCCCAAAAGAGAGCATCCTTCCCTGCATCCTTCCTCCCAAGGAGCTAGGATGGACAGAATAGACGGAAAATTGTCACTGCACTACAATTGGAATTATTATTGGCTGCGATGACTTTGGCTTCTTGGCCGGACATTTCCCGTTCCCCAGACTTTGCTGTAGACACGTTCTGTGCGAAATGACTTTCGGTTTTATGATGCGACGTATCCATTTGACCAGGACGCGGTCCCTGGAATGCAGCTGCCTCCATGTCCAGTTGGAGTTGGTGGAGTTCCTCCTGCATCTCGCATATCGTTAGCAAAACTTGCCAGCAAGTTGTAAAAATGTCTTCGAAAGTCGTAAAAGTATTTCATACATTTTTGTTTTTATTAAGTTGTGTGCTCTTTGGGTTTTCTTGAAAGTTTTTCCTTGAAAGCTGCTTGCCTGTGCACACTTGCCATATTATTGTTTATGAGTGCTGTCCGTTTTTATTTCCATTTGATTTTCATCAAGTTTACATGGCTTAGTAATAAGGGGGTCAGCTGGCGGTCGGTCGTTCTGTCGGTTTGTGTCGGTGGTTCCCCCTTTTAAAGGCTCCATCAACACACCCCTTTTTTCCGTTTATGAAAATTAAATGAAGATGGGCAACCAATGACAGTGAACTGTGGGAAAATGTGGAATTTGTAGAACCATAATCTCAATTTATGTATAAAAATTTGAAATTCTAGAAGGAGGATTCAAGAAAGACTTTAAAAAATAAAAAGGAACTATAAAGTATTATTTTCTTATTCATAAATGGGAAGAAGTTAAAGTAATTAAAGAGTTTCAAGCTTCAAATTAAGTTCTAAAAGTTTTCTCACTTTAACCGAATAGACTTCAATGACAAACAAATTCTTGTGATATAATTTCTAACTATTAAGGAGGTCCTCGTATTTTTCCAAGCCGTTTTCCTTTCACATTTTCACTGTACTCATATGGGCGAGTATATCTGTGAGGGTTTTTGCCTGCAGCTGGCGCAGCTCGCAAAATACTAAACGTCATGTGACAAACAGTTCAATAAAGTACAAAATGTGCGGAAAATCGCAAATGTCATGCGGGGAAAATCTCACAAAGGGCGCAGCGTTTACCATTTTCCTGCAGCACCATGGCAATGGAAATGGAAATGGAGCTGGGAAATTGCGTTCGAGCAGTAGCATTTCCATGCTGCAAATAAAGACGACAATTTGGCCGCGAGGCGAAAAATTATGAAACGAATGCGGTGGGGGGCGAAAAGCAGTGGAAAAATATGTGGATTCAAGGAAAAGCGGTGGGGCAAAAGTAAACTTAACGTGCCAGATAAATATCCTCTGACAGACAGACAGCGGAGAGATAAAGCCCAGGATCGGGTTTTCTGTGAGGGAATAGGAAGGAGCTGGAGCTGGGAGCCCAAGAGTGTGGCAATAAATTTGTGAAAAGCAACAAAAAACAATACCGAAAAGTGGCTTTGGCAGATTTCGAGCTGGCTGCGTGTGAAAAGTTTTTCCCCCTGGAAAATTCAATGCAATGGCAAGGGGTGGGAATTGCATTCTGCACTGACTTGCATTCGGGGGCATTGCCGCGGCATTTGCCAGACATTCAACTTTCAACTCTTGCCACAAGCCAACTTCCTTTCCTGCTTTTCCCCTTGCTTGTTTGCTGTTAGTTTTCCTCGTTTTCCGTTTTCAGTTTTCAGTTAGAGTTTTCTGTTTCTGTTTCTGGTTGTATTTGTTTCCTTCTCGGCTGACACTTGTTTCTCGGCGGGGCATAAGGCAACAAGGAGCTGGTGTGATCCTTGGACAGGCACGTACGCATTGGGGGCGTGGCGCCAAGTGTTGCATACTTTTTAGGGGAATGGCCTACGCGAGGTGACTTTAAAACAATATATTAAGGAAATATCAGTAAAGTCGTTCAAAAAAGTGGTATTTTATAATAAACAATTACTAAATAAATGCAGGATGATGGTAGATGGTAGATATAAAACCTTTTTGACCTTTAACTTGAGTTTTCTATGAAAAACTCTCGTTAAGTTAGGACTTTGATGTCTACAATTGTTGATTAAAGCCTTTGAGCTTACTGGGTTTTCGACTGAGGTTTTAAATTGTTTAAAAATATTAACGAATTTGTAGTAAAATAACCCCTTAAATCCTGCTTAGCATTTGCCGTTTTCAAGTGCAACTTTTCTTCCAACTTTATTTCTATTTTCCTCCCACGCTTTCAGCTGGGTTGTATAATCAACATAACAAGCACAACTGCCAGTTTACGAGTCTGTTAATGTCTCACACACACCCGGGGCCACGCACACCACACACATCCAGCAGCTATAGCTCCAGGGACTTGACTACCAGCCAGACGAGCTTCCTGGCCATGTCCTGAACCAAACTATACGTTCTATAGAGTATGTCTGAGCCCGGCTCGCCAGCGCTTCCTGCCAAAAGTGTCGATGATGCTGACGGTTAGCGCCAAAGTCGTTGCACTCATCAGAGCGGTTCCACCCTAAAGCTTCCCCTCTTTTTGTAGGATACCTCGTCTCCTTTTTTTGTAGGAGAACTCATGCTACAAGAAACCTTGCCACAGTTGCCCACCAAAAGTTTATTTATCTTGTTCGGGCTGGCAATGCACTGTGGTTAGGATTTTTTGACATTTTAGAATTGAAATTTTGACTACTACTTAGGATGTAATCATTTTTGATCCAGTAATAGTATATCACACAATTTTTTAATATTTATATGTTAATCTAAGGAAAACTTAGGGAACTTAGGCAGCTACAAGTTTTGAATTATTTCCTTACAACTTTGTTCATTTTCCTACCACTGTCTTGAAACCGCTTTATGTTAATGCACTTAAATTTAGTTCGCGGCAAAAGTGGGCGTTTTTTGGGGGCGTGCCTGGGCACGGGTTGTTGCAGTTTTGCCTTTGCTGCCAATGCCGCCGCATTTTATTACATGCATAATTCCACCAGGGGATCGACGCTGGTCCACTCTTGCTTCTGGGAGCTCCTAGCTACCAGCTCCAGCTCCAGCTCCTAGCTCCTGGCTCCTCCTTTAACCATATCTACTGCCACATCCATTTCCAACTCCATCTGCGTCCCCGCTGCTCGTCTCTTATTTATTCGCATCGTCTGGGCCATGAAAGCGCCAAACTAATGCCGTCGAAACTAATGGTCCAATTCGAGTGGCTCGACGGCATCCTCATTTCGGCAACGGACTGACTCCTGCTGCCTGCCGACTGCCGACGTAATCCTGCCTCGCCAGGATTGTAAAATTTTCCAGTTAATTTTAGCATCGTCCGCATCCTCGGCATCCTCATCGCGTCTCTCTTGCATTTGACAAATT